ATACTCAGCAACGCAAACAATCGTGTGCTAGTATCCTCTTTTTAACATTAGGACAGAAAACATCAAAATCATAAAGGAAAAGAACAGTATATCTTCCTCCACTAAAGTCTTTTATATTTGCTTCGAATGAAGTAGAAAGACATGTTTCAATGGTGCATTCTATTTATTAATTTATCTTTGAGACCGAGTGCCCCAGCGTGGCCTCAAACCCAAGACCCTCCTGCCTCATCCTCCCGGGTGTGGGATTACTGCCATACACCACCATGCCTGGCTTGTAAAAGGAATTTGTAAACGGCAGCAAAATCATATTATAATCCAACATAATCTTTATGTTCTTCTGGAAAAATATGGAACAGATTTTTTTAATCACAGGTATATTTTTCATATGTTATTAAATATTTTCCAAATGTCATAGGAGAAACATACACATTATTACGATCAAGAAATGGTTACTTTTTTCAAATTTCTGAGCTTATTCAATGCACTATGTCAACTATATGTACAAATTTAGTAAAGTAAAATAATTTTGTATTCATTGTCTTTAATCATGAATTAAACAAAAACAAACCTAACCTATAGTGCAGTAACATATGGATAACAAATAAATATTCATATCTATATGGATATCCCCATTAGTTTTGTGATAGCAATGAGGAAATACTTCATCTCCAAAAATAAAGTCAAATACCTAAGATAGCTATTAATTCTAATAAAAGATCAAATAAATTATTGTCTTTGACAACACAAAATATTAAATTTTTATTATTCATGATTAGGGATGCCAATAAAATACAATATATCCAATCAAATTTGGATTTTAGATAAACAACTTCTTTTCAGCATTGGGGACTGAACCCAACTCCTTACACACGCTAGGCAGACGCTATCACTGAAGTACACCCTCTGTCCCCAACACGTTTGAATTATAAGCTTGTCCTTTGCAATTTTCGAGATGTGTGCAACTTTGGGAACCTATATATGCCAAGAAATTATTTTTTATTCATCTGAAATACAAATTTGACTTATCATTCTGTATTTTTATTGGTTCGGTCTGACAGCCTATTTACGGTGTCTCTCACAATAGTCACATTCTCTGCTCTAAATAACTGTTACGCCCTTGCAGCAGGGGCTAGAACAGTGGGATCGACCAGAAACCAGTTCACCAAGATCAAACTAGAGCTGTCTGACCCAGGGAAGGCTCCGCGCCAAGTGCTTCCTGCACTTCCCAGGCTGTAATGGCCTCGGTGGCCCCTCACTGTCCCCCGCCCTGCGAAGTCCCAGATAAAACAAGAGCGCCAGGGAGTCTGGCATCCTCACTTCCAAGCTCATCCTACGTGAGATATGTGGGAGCCCTGCGGTCTCAGCCCACTCTGAGAGCAGCCCCAGCTCACCGGTGCACCAGAGAGACAAGTGGAAAGGAGCTCAAGGTGCTGAGAATGCCGTTCTCCTGGAAAGGAAATAGGCAGAAAGAAGGTCTGATTAGAGATGCTCTTTGCAGTGAGCGGGAAGGAGAACAGGGGGCACATGGCCTCCAGAGCCCAGACCACAGTGCGGCAGGCCTGTGTTCACTCTATGTACGGGGATGATTCTCCGAGAAAAGAGGAATGCAGCGCCTTCATGTCTGTCTTGGGAGCTCATGTCTAATGTGACATGAAGAGAAGAATCAGCAGAGAGGGCATGGTAGCGCATGTGGGGAAATTCAGCTACCTGGGAAATGGAGGCAGGAAAAATCCTGAGTTTGAGGTCAGCCTTCGAAGCTTAATGAGACCCTGACTCAAAAAGGGGGGCAGTCTCTGGGGATGTGCTCCATGTTTACCGCCCTTGCCTGGGGGGGGGTGAGATCCTGGGTTCATTCCCTGGGAAGTGAAGGAGTCCGCCATGGAAGCAAGAGTGGAATTAAGCGTAAGTGGAGCTGGGTGTGGCAACATCGCCTGTAGTCCCAGAAGTCTGGGATGGAGAGACAGAAGGATCACAAGTTTGACCTCCACCTGGGGTGCACAGTGACTCAACACGACCCTGTGCCACAATTAAAAAGTATCAAAAGGAGCCCTTGAGGGCCTTGAGTTCAGTCTCCAGTGCTCCAAAGGAAAAATAAGCAAGTGACGTATTTTTATTTATGAGTATTTAGATTATAAATTACTTTATAAATGATTTCTTATAATAAATGTAAATTAAAAAGAATCAGTGAGGCCAGAGTTAAAAGTGTATGGAAGTAATACAACAGACAAATACAGAATGGCAAGTATGGGTAGGCTTCTGGATGTATTTTGAAGGCAGGCATTTGATACAGTGGGTGAAAGAAACGGCCTGAAGAGGTTGAGGTTGAAGTTTTGGGGTCAAGAACCTGAACAGAAGCTCCATTTACTGAGATGAGAAAGGCCAGAAAAGATGGGGATTGTAGGGCAGAGAAGGGATAAGATGTCAAAACTTTCATCTTCAACTTGCAAAGTCTGAGATGCCAGGCCAGTGTCCATGTGTAAATATTGTGTGGGGATTGGGATTCCTGAGTTGGAGTTGCAGGTGGATTCCGTCTATTCAAGGGAACGAATCCAACAGCCAAGAGAGCACTTGTCCCTTTCAGAAACACAGATCGGGCAGGTGTCGGAGAAGGGAGATGCGAGGGGAGACCCAGTGATGCAGGGAGCCCAGAGGGAGGCCCAGGGCAGCAGAGTAGAAAGGCAGTAGCCCAAGGAAGGACCAAGTCTTTGCCAAACCCCCTGCTGGCAGACTAACACAGGACTTAGGGTTGGCCAGCGTTTTCCCAACGGAAACGTCCTCCTAAAGTCTGATGGTAACTTTGCTCTTTCATAAGACATCTTTTGAAATATGCCACGAGTCAGTCGCTGTACCAGAAACAGGGTGTAGGTCGGTGAGCTGCGCCCACCCTCACATGGCTGCAGTCTGGGGAGAAAGACGGGGAAACAGCAGCACAGTCACCACGCTGTGCCATCACAGAAAGGGCTTACGATTCCATCATACATCAAGTCTACCGCGTAGCTTCCCGCTGCCCTGCACTGGCCTGTGCACACAGAGGAAGTGTGAGCGCCATCCTCCAGCAGTCTGAAATCTGTACCGCTAACACATCACTGATGGGGGCAAGCCGAGAAGGAGCGATCACTCTCTGCATTCCAAAGTTTGCAGTAGGATTGGCTTCCAAAAACTATATATATGTGAGGTGTGATAAAAATCATGGTTAATATTTAAATTTAAAAATAAAAAGATTTACTGTAGCAAAAGAAATATTGCCATTAATTGCTCTCAAAATGTCTCTCACTTGGAGCACACTTATCCCATCATTCTTGCCACCTCTGAAGCAGTTGCCCAAGTCCTCTTTTGTGAGTGTTTTCCCACTGCTGCCTCAATGTCCTGAATTGATTCAAAATGTTAATGGTAATACATGTTTTAAAAATACCCCTTGTGGTATGTTCTCCTCTACCTTTCTAACCAGATCTGGCACTGTGCAATTTCTGGCTTTTCCCCAAAATCAGAATAACCATGAAAAATAAACATTTTGAGTCAATTCAGGTCATATAGGTAAATATGACAATGAAACTAGAGATGCTTATAGAGGAGGACTTCCAGAACTGCTTCAGGAGGTACAAGAACAATGAGATACGTACACACAAAGTGAGGGGGAGCATTTCGAGGACGTTTACTGGCAACGTGTCTTTTACTGTAAAATTTCTAATGTAAAGTTTCACATTTCTTGTGTGGGTGCATATGTGTGTCTTCGCATTTCATTGCGAAGCCAATGTGGTCCTGGTGCATTTTCAGCATGATTTTAATGACATCCTTTGCAGTACCATCTCCGTAGTTGCATCTCATTGTGTGAAGAGCTTGTGGGTAATCTTGTTTCCAGTCTTCTTCACCCAGTTTGGCTTCTTAGTTGAAATTATCTGACCAGGGCTCTGTCTCGAAATGTCCTGAGGTTATATGTCCCATGAGACCAGCCCATGACAAATTCCAGGAGGCCGAGACGTGAAAGAAATGGTGACTAACCACCAAGGACAAGCTCCACATCTTCTCCAGGTTTCTCTTTTCTCTTCTCTTCTTTTCTTTTGTTTTTACTGACCTTGACAAAGAAGGACGTGTTCATAAAGAACAACAAAAACGACTACCTTTGAAAATCTTCCAGAAATTGGCGGGCAGTATTTTTACCAACAGAACACCTCCACCAGCAGTTTTCGCATCACGTCTGCCCTGAGGGCTGCCTGGGCTGGGCACCATGCAGACTCAACGCCCGCCGGGGCCAGCAAAGCCTGAAGGGGCCTTGATTTACTTAGGACATCAATTTCTGTCGTGAGAAGACAGCATCTGAGCTCAGGTAGCCCACAAGCTCTCCCCTCGGAAACCACAGCTCAGTCCTCTGCTGGCTGCCCTCATCCAAGACTCCACTGCTGTGCATCCTGAAAGGCCCCTGGCCACCTTCAGCAGCACCAGGCTGGCAGGAAAAGAGTCAGAACACCAGGCTGAGGGCAGAGCGGCCACATACCAGGGATACAGACAGGAGCCTTGGCCGGGCGTGGCGCACAGCAGCCCCTCCCCTGTGGCGTGGGAGTGAAACCTGCCTGATTCCGAAACCCGTGGCACAAAACAACTGACACAGTGTGAGTGAAAATGTTGTCATGATCCCAACTAAGCCAGTTCCTGCCCTTAGGAGTTCCAGGTACAGAGGAAAGTCAGCCTGAGGGGATCCGTCTAAAACACAAGCAAAACTCATGATTTGAAAGCAATGCTTGTGTTTCAATGCGAGCATTTTAACAGTGTATATGGGCACCGAACAGATATGCGACTCTGACAGACACAGCATGTGGTATTTTCATTTTCCTTATCTTATACCACTCTTAGGAATAGCAGGGTTCTCTCTCCATAAATGCTCTTTTGAATCAATAGTGTGTTTAGCCTCGATTGTAAGGCAGTATTTAAATTAGCACATGATTATTCAATTGCTTCTTTCTGGAGAAGTTCCACAGAATAACTTTCTAAATATTGCTTTTGTCTGGGCCAAATCAACTCAAAATGGCAGAAGACATTACTCCGGAGTTGTATTATAAAATACCATCATAGCACATTGGTGAAAACTAGGGCAGATTTTATTAATAACAGCAGAACCTAATATCATTGGTTTTAGTTTACCATTTTCACGTTTTACAATGACATTATCCAGATATAAATTGTTATGATGAGAACTCATTCACTAGAGACCCAAAAAAGTTACAACTCTGCTTTTAAAAAGAGACTTTGCATATATCAGTGAAGGACACACTAATAAGGATTGGTCTGGAACATTTCTCTTTATGACGACTGACTTAGCAGCAATGGTCCCTGCAGCAGAGTTGGAAATTACATAATTACCAGAAACTGTAGATGTTTGACTTGACAAGAGCCCTAGGTTTATCTGATTTATTTTTGTAAGAATTGGGCCCCATGGATATTTAGAAATGTTTCACGAAAGAGCAGTAAAATATAAAGGAAACAAGCAAAACTCCACTTTCAAAGGCTGCCTCTAACTGCATCGTCACTGTTGTGATAACACAAATAAACCCAAGAGAAACCTTGGGTGATGGCATCGGGTGAAAACACTACCCTAAATTAAACATTATGGGCTATGATGTCTGGACACTGTCCTCCTCTTCATAACCGCTCCTGTCTGTCCTCTCTGTGCTATTGATCACTGGGCTCTGCAGAACATGCCACTGCACCTTGGGGACGTACGCAGAATAAGAAGGCACACAAAGCAGGACGGGCCACATTCACAGGCAGGCAGGGGCATCCTGAGCCCATCTGGGCTCGGGAGGGGACCATGCCCTGTTCAGGGACAGAGGGGGCAAGTGCTGAGCCAAGATGTATGTGTGTATAAGTAAAGAGGAGGCCTTCCCTTTTAAATTTTGAAATTTTGTGCTCCAAAGCAAATATCGAGGACCTGCAAAGTACTAGACCACTCTGGAAAATTCAGGGTCGTGTAGATTCTCAAGGACCTCTAGTTTTACTTGAAACAAACAAACCTTATAAACAAGTTCATTACTAAGGTAGTTAAGTTAAAAATACAATCTATTACACAAATATGCTGAGATACACAACCACAGGACTTTCACACCTCACATCCTTTGCTAAGAGCATATGATACTGAGTTCCACCTCTGCCTCCTGACTACAATGTCTGGTGGGTGAATAATGCAAACAGAAGAAGGTTAAAAGGCTGATGGCCAGAAGAGGGCCATATTAAATCTTTCTGGAAAGGGCAGGTCATCTTCACAGGGCCAGTGATAACTGAGCTGGAATTTGAGCAATGAGTGGAGGATACCAGATAGGGAAAACCAAACCTTGCCTGAGAGGTTAAAAAGTGGGGGAGAGAAGAAGAATTCAGGTGATGGGAAAAGTGCAAAGAGGCATAGACACACAAAGCTGCGGATTGCTCAGAAGTGGTGAGAAGCCTGGTGCACTCACACTGTAAGCAAAGGGAAGGAGAGGCTGTGAGCGGCAGTGCCAGCTAAGGCAGCTCTGTGCAGGCGGGTCAGGCCACAGATACTTTTAGAGGGGGAAATTGCAGTGTCACATTTTAAAATTTGGTCTTCTAGGTATGTGGAGGTAAGAAATTGGGGCAAAATATATTAGAGGCAGAGATAAAGAAGGCAGTTCATAGTTCGCTGAGCAAAACTATATTGTGCACAATACAAGTTAACACTTACAAAATTATCTTGTGTGTATCCTGAAGTGGAGGAATAAATAAATTGAGCAAAACCAGAAGAAAAGAGTTATAAATACAGAAGAGGAAATTAGAATGAACCTTGAGTACTTGGATTGCAATTAGCAGTACTGATATAAAACCATGATATTTAATATCATAAGCAGGTAAAGGGATTCCAAGATGTGAAAATGAGCGTACGTGTGCGTATGTGGATGTCCGCACTCCTCCATCCACCAGAAGGGTACTGAAGCAATGACGTACTCAAAGCATCAAGTATAGTTACCATTTATATATTGGTTTCCTATTCTATTATCCGCTAAAAGGAAATGGATCTCTGGAGAAACTGCTGAGTCTGGGGATGGAGGAAAGCAACATGAGGGTAGATAATTTCATTATTCTAGAAAGTAACAAAGTGCTGAAAGAAACATGAGATACATTTCCAAAGCACACAGGAACTCACTTGAAAGAAATCCACTGGTAAAATCTGGAATAGTATGGGCATTCAAAAAATAATGACAAAATAATAATTATAATAAAAAATTATATGCATCAAATAAAATAAGTATACAGAAATAAGTGTGGGTAGAGAAAAAAATACATTATTAAAGAACAATAATATCTAGTTACATGGATGGAATAAGAAAGCTAACAAATCATTAGTGGGAGCTGATGAAAGTGTGATGAGAAGAACTGAATATTTACACAGTCGATTGTAGATGTTGTATTATTTACAAAGCGACAAGCAAAACTTTATAATGAAGAACACAAATTTAACCAAGTCATCAAACTGCTAATATGAGTTAAGCTGACATCACGATGCTCTTAGTGAAACGCACTGAAAAATCACAATGTTATTTGGGGGCATCTGAATCACATGACCTGAATCTAATATTAAGGAACTGTTAAATAAACTCAAAATAAAGAAAGACTACAAAATACTTGACTTATAATTTTCAAAAGGTCAAAGTCAGGAAAACATAAAAAAGGCTGAAGAACTTCACTACAGATGTAAGACCAAGGAGACATGAAAACTTGTGATCTTGTATTTGAAACAAAACAAAAAATAATAACTATAAAGAAAATTATATTGAGACAGTTAAAATGTTAATAGAGACTATGAATGAGATTATAATAATATTCAATTTGATGTTTGTGAAAATTATACTATGACTATGTAAGGGAGCACCCTACTTTATTAAATACGCAACGAAATATTTAGGAGTATAGAAGTTTGGCATCTCTAACATTATCAAATTACCAGAAAAAAGAATCTACCTAACACCTATCTATCCACCTACCTATCTACCTATTTCTCGATCAGGAAATATCAAGATTAAATAGAATAAAATATAAACAATTAATGGGTAAAGAAAGTTAAGTCTCTTTTTCTTTAAGCTCACTGTCCATAAGTTTCAAATTGCATTAACGGAAACTGAATCATACATTTATGGAGTGCACATACTTCCTGCACCCACTGGCTCACAGTCTAGCAGGCAGAGAAGGACACCCACAGAGCTCCGTGAAGCACGTGTCAGCAGAGAACTCTGCTCTCTGCAGTGCTGCTTGGCTCTGCTGGGGAAGTTGGTCCGCCTAGTGCAGAAGTTCGGCTCAGTACTGATGAGGGCAGGAACTGAGCAGCACTGTGGAGGAGCAGACCAACTCACGAGATGTTGTGAAAATGTGGTGGCAAACTTAGTGACCAACTGGATGGCAGCGTAGAGGAGCCGGGAGAGGCGCTGTGTGACGCTCACAGATCTCTCTGGAGTGCGGAACAGAGGGTGTGGAAACACAGAAGCCCAGCTTGGAACGTGTCAAGTTGCCAGGGAGCAGCCACCAGGGCAGCCTGCTTCCTTGGAACACTCTCTGCTGTGCCACAGAGTGGGCCAACCAGTCACTGAGGGTTGATAACAATCAGTGGGCACCATCTCACTGGGGCCCGAGGTGGACGAGCTAGGACTGCAAGTGCAATGTGCAGCTTTAGAAAGCTCCTCCTCAAACCCTGATCTGCTCGCTGGCACAGAAGTCTTTCCAATTTCAGGCGCAATATTTTGCACTTATTCTTTTATTTCTGTAGGAAACATTTACTTGAAACAGTGTACTAGGCACCGAGGATAAAGAAACACATAATGCGTAGGCCCTGTCCTCCAGAACTTTCAAAGACCCGTGGGAAAAATAGGAGAACAAATGAATATAATTCAGTATGTTTGCTGCTTAGAATGGAGAACGCATGAGGAGCCATAGAAGGGAGCACAGCACAGCACCGGATGGAGAGCGTGAAGGAAATCAAGCCAAAAGATGCCAAGGGGTGACACAATGTGACAAGGAGGAGGATTCCGCAGGGAGGATAGCATGAGAGCTCATACCTGAGCCACTGGGCAGACGGCAGAACCACCCGGAGGAGCAGAAGTGCAGGAGTGGGCCAAGCTCTTCTGCTTTCCTGGGGAGGAGGAAGCAGGCCACCACGAGACTAACCAGAAGAGAAGGGGAGACTGTCAATCCCAAGCCAAATTTGAAGCAGCTGAAAGATGCTTCTGAGGCCAGTTTCACTGACAGCAAGACAGACTCTGGACGCCACTCTGAGGGGAGGGCGTGCAGCACGGAGCTCTGCGTTGCAGGAGTATCAGAGGGGAGGGGCTCCAGGAGCAAGCTGCTGCTCCCCAAATAGCAAGCACATATTTTCCCACCACCAGTGGGGCTGTTGCCAAGAAATCACACAGACCCCCCAAAAATAGGGAAAATGAAAATAAAAAGACAAGTCTCAGTCTCTTGTCCTGGAGCACTAAGTTCAGGCTAGGGCCCTGCCTCGGTGGTCGTGGTGGTCGTGGGGTTCGGGGAAAGCCTACCCACAGCTCTGACATGTGTTTATGCAGCTGAGTCCGGAAGAAGGGGACCTGGGAGAGGGGAAGCTAGTGAGAGCCCGTTTGTGCATGGCATTGCTCCTGGCCCTTCACAGCCCTGTCCTTTCTCCTGTGACGTCATGTTATTATTCTTTATAAACAAGGCAACAGGTGTGGAGTTATGCAACCTGCAGAGACGCTTAGGAAGTAGGAGCATTATACAAAGAGTGTGGGGTGTGATGCTGCCTGTCGCCGGGAGGCTGCAAGGCACCTTGGAGATCCTGGTGTCTGGAGATGAAAGAAGTCACTGTGCAGAAATAAGGGTAACGACTCGAACACAGTGTGACCAACTGAGCCTGTGTACAATGTCTCAAGCTGCTCTTTGTGGGGTTTTTTTGTCTCTTTCTTTACTTAAAAGCCACCTACCAGGGAATGTCCCGTGGTCCCCACAGTGCCTCTGACATGTGAGTCCTCGGAGAAAACTGATAAAATCTTGAAGGCCTGTGGCCAAGTGGTATCTTTCTCCATTGCTCCAGCAACAGAAGCATCAGGCACCGTACACAAGTGGTCACCTCACGAGTAGCCCCAAGGGCGACACCCAAACACACTGCGCTCCGTCGCGGCTGAGGATGTGCCACCCAGGGCTCTGAGCCGGTCCTCCCTAGTGCTCGTCCAGCTGGCTGGCAGGGAGAGGAAACGGAGCTGTCCCTCCTTCAGATGAGGTGTAAGAAGTTGATTAATGACTTGCGGCAGAGCAGGCCAAGGAGGGGCTTCACATGTTTGTCTCAGGAGACCCGCAGCGGGCTGTGGAAAGAAAGGTGGGCATTGTCAGGAGGGGTGGTGGGCAGCTTTTGCTAATTAGGGCTTGGTTAATGCTGGTGAGTGCTGAGCGTTCCTGCTAATGGCTGTTGCTAATGGGAAAAATGGGATCATTTGTTAATTTTACCTATGAGAGTGTTGAAGGCAGGATGGAAGGAAAAAAGTGAAAATGAACCATTTTGGCTCAGCTGAACAAAAAGTGGAAAAAAACTTCTCATAATTTTCTTAAAAAGAGTGAGACACTGATTTTCCAAAGATGCCAAGCTCCCTCGCCTTTATGAGAGTGGCCACCAATTGGTACTTAACCAGCCCGATTTCTAAACACTTTGGCCATCTTCCAGTTGACCTTTTCTTCCTGAGCAGCACGTAGTTTTCTAAATGCCGGTTGTCATGGAGATACATGTGGTCCAGGACTTATGGCTGGTGGGTGCAACCCAGTCACAGAGTATTTTCCTACCATATGTGAGGCCCTGGGTCAATCCCCACACTGGGGAAAGGAAAAGGACTTCCTGTGAGCTCTCTACGTGCTTTTACTTGCATGACTACATTGACATTTTGCAGCACAGCTGTGAGATGGGTAGATGCACTTAATGAGAGGGTTGAACCTCAGACCTGTAAACTACACAGCACTTTTATTTTTCAAGGCCTTATGTTTTACAGAATAGCTCTATATTCGAGGTCCCTTTGCCGGAGTATATTTTACATTCTAGATTACAAATATTTCTCATTATTTTATTCTTTCCTAATCCATCCAACATGTTCCATCACAGTTTCCACAGAGTTCTCTAGTCCTCTGACTCCATGGTGACTCCAGAATTGTGTGGGTGACCAATAAGCCCTGAATCGAGAGCCATGAACCTCAAAGACAAGTTGTTCTTCCCTGGTGAATTCTGAATGGCATGCTCCTCTCTGATAGCCTGCCCAGAACTTGTGCTTCGCAGCATTGGCTTAAACAGGACGTTGATGTAGCCGCAATTTGAGACGAGCCTGGTGTAGACACATGGCCCCTGGTCAGTATTGAGAACAAAGCATCCGCGCTTCTAATGTTTAGAAGAGTATTATGCATATAGACTACACTTGGGGTTGATGTGCGTGTGGTTCTTAGCCAGGCTCTGAGGCTTAGAGAGACAGAGTCTCAGTAGAGAGAAACTGCGAAGACTCCCCTGGTCCAGTCCTGTGTACTATGAGCCAGTTAGCTACACAGGATTCCAGCTTGGCCTGCTGGTAAGATGGGTCACTGGAGACAGGGCCACTGGGAAGAGGTAAGTCATTAGGCACACAAGTTCCTGTCCACATGAGCGTCCCCAAGACGAAGTCAGAATCTCGGTTCTATCAAGTACTACTTTGTAACTTTAGAAAAATTGTGCCACGCCGCACTGTTTGGCAGTAAAAAAGTAGAAAAAGGCTATGCAATATGTCTAGCAGACGCTCAAACCTTCCTCAGCCCTGACGATTTCAAGGCTTCCCCAGGGCAGCTGCACTCAGAGTTAAAGGTAGTCCCTGTCACCCTTCCCAGCCCTTCACTCTGGAACTCGCACTTCCCCAGCATCACCCTGATTAAAGCCAACCACGAGGCAGGTCCAGATTCAAAGGGTGGGGAAAAGACACACACACTCATACGCTCACAATGGGACAGATGCAAAGTGTGGTGACTCAGCCCATCACAGACCCTACCATGAACCACTTCAGCCAGGTGCCTTAGCTGTGCCACACACATCCTTCTCCCCAGAAATCCCCTGTGAGACGTCATAACACCCATGTTCCACACTCAGAAGCCAAGGCTCACGTCAAACAAGTGGTTGGGAGTGGGGCTGATTTTGGAACTCAAAATCATGAGACTCCAGATCAAATACTGTTCTCTCAAGTAGTTTTTGGAGTCCACCTAAGAGATCCCTCCAGGCTTTTACAGCAAGGAACTAAGAACGATACATCACCTTTCGTTTTTTCAGTACTTGGAACTGAACCGGGGCCTTGCACTGAGCCACATTCCCAGGGTTTCTTGTATCTCATTTTAGACCTGGAAAATATCTTGATCTATGAACCCTACTTCAGGCGTCTAGGTGTTCCGAGGTCTATACTGAGCCCACCTGGACAATCGCAGACCTCAGAAGAGTGCAGAAGAAAGGACCCTCTTCTCTCAAATATCCGAATGCAGGAACCCAGGGGCCTGGGCCACGGGCTCAGACACCATGCCACACCTCACCTCCCTGCCCCACACCTTAGCCTAGGCCCACCGAAACCAGTAACGACGATCGCAGAGTGGCAGCCTGACTTTTCCTTACTTAGTTCCCTACTTTGAAACTCAACTAAGTAAGGTCAGCTAAATGAGCGTGCAGCAAACATGTTAAGGTGGTCCCTTCCATGACTTGTGCCCCCATATAATTTTCTCCCACTAAAACCCAACAGGACACTACTCTGAGGTTGGCATCATGCTAACAGCAACAGGGATTGGTTAGATGCAATTAAGCTACTCATCAGTTGACTTTAATTTAGTCAAAAGGAGATGATCCAGGTGGGCATAACCTAATCATCCAAGCCCCTCAAAAGCAGACACTCTCCGGCTTGTACCAGAAGACAACGCTGGAGAAAATCATAGTCTGAGAGGATTCCCCACCAGAAAGGTCTGCAGCTGAGGTGGAGGGAAGAGCCCCATGCAGAGCTGGCCTGAGCGTGGCCTCCTAGAGGAAAGGTGTCCCTGGCTTACAGTCAGCAACTTGGAACCCAGGCCCACAGCCAGAAGAGCCTGAATTCTTCCCACAACCTGGAAGAGCCTGGAAGCAGATCCTTTCCTGTGGCCTTCAGGAAAGGCCCTGCCTGGCTAACACTTCATTTCTGCCTGAGGAGAACACAGAGTAGCCTGCCCGGCCTTCTGACTGAACAGAAGTGTGAGATGATAAATGGATGTTGTTTGGAGCCATGAAGGTAGGCTAATACTCTAGTTCTACAGGAATGCAAAACTAATACAGCCAGCCAGCCAAGCCAAGTGGTGAGGACAATTAAAAAGCCTGTCTTCCCCCTTCCACAGCCCACCCTGGGAGGCTCAGGAAAGGCGCACCTCTGCTGCCTAACCTTAGATTTGATGGTTCCCAAACTACCCATTCTGCGAAGGACCTATTCCATTACCCATCATGTGAAGTTTTGGAAAACAGTCTTGATTTGAAATAGGAGATTAGCCCATGTGTTCCCACTTCAATCTGAAACCGTGGTTACTACTGCAAGGGGTATGTAGTGGGAAGTTATTGGTTATAGATCATTCCTTTTTCAAATCGTATTTATAACTTTCAAAAACAAAAGGATAGTTAACATTACCTGTCATTGCTAGGCACTGAATAATACTTTTGGTATTCCTTACATACTGTCTGAGCAGTAGTTCTAGTTCTGAGAGCAATGAAGCAAATGGTCTAAATCTGCTGACCACAAAGGTAGGATGTGAGCCTCGGTCACCCTATGCCAAAGTTCAGAGCTCTTTTGGATTTGGAACAAAGGTCTGTAAAATGGGGAGTGAGGACAGCAGACTCGTGACCAGCTAGGTCTGATTGGAGGAGGAGCAGAAAGGGGTGAGATTTCAAAGGTACTGGGCTCCTTTGAGGGATGATGAGAGTATCACTCAGTTGACGGTGGTTGTGTTACATACACATCTGCAAATATAATAGAAACCATCAAATTTTATATTTTAAATATATATTAATTATATCTCAAAGGACCAGGTTTTTTCAAGGTCAGTGAGGAGGTTTTTGCAGGGGTTGAAATATCTGAAGATTTGGAAGCAAGGAAACAGGGGAGATTAGACTAATCATAGGTAGCCTTGCATATCAGATAAGCCATCTGCAATTGTTCCTTAAGAAACACTGATGCCCCACAAAGGTTCTCAACAGGGAGTGAAAAGTCCCGTAGTGTTCTAGAACCTCTTCTCCTGGCTGGATAAGGGTGGATACAGGAGGTGCGCTAGTTCAGACAAGGACATCCACAAGGAGACTCTTGCTTAGCTCACTGGAAAGGATGAAGACTGAAGGGTGACGGAATAACCAAGTGTCCAGTGCGTGAGAAACACTGTGGAGAGAAGCGACAAAGCAAAGGAGGAGCAAAGGAATGACGAGGTTCCTAGCAGGGTGTCCAGCTTCTCAAGGAGGAGCTGCCTGGTCCAGTGTGGACTCTTGGGAAACAGACCCAAGACAGCGAGGATAGAGGAGAAAGTGAGATGCTTCAGGACTGCTGCCGAGGACCCGAAGTTGAGCCCTCCAGCCAGATGCATACTCTACGGACGCCCAAGTCCTACACTCAGAGACTCGGGTTCAAAATGCCTGGCAGTGGACTGGGCACTGAGATGCTCAGAAGCTCCCGGGTAACTGAAGGCCTGCCCAGGCCTTCGAGCCCACAGTGTGGGCAGTTCTTCTACTGACACCATCAGCTGGGGGCACAACTACGGCTGGCCAGGTCTGACAGCCTGGCCAGACAAGGCCTGACTGAGCAGGGGGGCCTGAGGCTTCACCGCACAGATACTTAAGGGAGGCGAAGGAAGACTTGAAAATTCTCGAGCGGGATCCAGGCAGAACTCCCCGTTCCTGTAGTTCAGTGATTATCAGTGTGGTTCCCAGTCCAGCAGCATCAGCTTCCTCCAGGAATTTGTTAGACATTCGGATTTTTGGGCCCCATCCTAACCTACTGAATCAGAAAGTCCAGGGCTGAGAACTAATTGTGCGGCTTTTTCGGATTGAGCTTTTTAAATATTGGTGAAATAACTAGAGCCACAGGCAACTATAAGAAATACAGAGTGATCGTATGACTTTTCATAAACAGTACCATAGCATCCGTAAAGCCATAATTCGATGTCATGGCCAGGACCTGATGGGTACCTGCAGCCTGCAGACAGAATCTGCCCACCACCACGAGCATCCATGGGTGGTCCTCCTGCAGCTGTGGTTCCCGACCCCACTCACTCGTCATCCCAGCAGCAAGGCCTGCTGTCCATTTCTGCAACCTTGTCACTGCAGCAATATTATGTAGCCAGGAGGATGCCTGTAATCCCAGCACTCAGGAGGCTGAGGCAGGAGGATCACTGTGAGCTTGAGGCCAACCTGGGCTACACAGTGAGTTCAAGGATAGCCAGAACTACATAGCAAGACCTTGTCTCAAAACAACAAAAACAGAAAAAAAACCCAAAAGAATGTCAGTAAATGGAACCATAGAGCATATAACCTCAAGGGACCGGCTTTTTTAAATTCACCATAATCCTCTGGAGAGTCTTCCGGGTCACTGCGTCCATGCATGCTTTGTCCTGCACATTGCGGAGTTGTGCTCCAGGTAATGGTTGTGTAGCCATTAGCCAGCCGAAATCTTATTGTAACAAGTTCTCCAGATAATCCAGATATGCTTCCAAGTCGATAACCACTGAGCTCTAGACACAGGGCTATAAAGGTCAGGAAGCACTTTCTCACTGTGTCACCATTCCTAGACCTCAGAGTCTTTCTCAAAGGCACAGAAAGGGACTTTTGTCCTGTCTACCCCTACTGTGAACGTGGATGCACCTTAGACCGCACTGTTAGATATCAGATGCTTGAGCCTAAACATGGTACGGTTTCTCTTACAGGAGAAGCCCTGAGCATAAATAAAGAGCAGAATGAGAGACAGATAATAGGAAGTAGGGTGAGAGATCTTTTGCACATGGGAAGGGGACCGAGACATGGAGGGTGGGGGAGGGAGTGGAGGGGAAGGAGTGAAAAAGTAATGAATATGCATTATGTACATGCACCAACTCTTTATGAGGAATGCAATCATTACGTACTGCAAACATAAACTAAACTGAATTAATAAGAAAATGGAAAAAGGAAAAGGAAACATACAGTACCCTGTATCCTGCTTATCACTGCTAAGTGGATTTCTAAAGGGATGAATGTATCCATTCAACAAACATTTATGGAAGTACCCTCGTTACTATTCTAGGAAGTAGAAAAACAACAAGGGAAAAGATACACAGATGCCTGCTCCTAAGTAGCTTTCTCTCTAGTGCTGCCACTGAATACAATAAAGAAATACAATCTTATGAAATAAAGTAGGCCAAAACAAATGCTATGAATAACAACAAAGCTGGGTCAGGGTTATAGACCAAGAAACACTGGACATGGGAGTCCAGTTAGCAGCTACTCCAGCAGCTCGGGTGAGAGGCGCAGACGATGATCAGGACAGCTGTGGTGGTGTTCGTGGTGATGTGGGGCAGAATTTGTATCCTGAAGGTAGAGTATGACATGATTTTCAGATGTGGGCCTAACAGCATAGGTGAATGAGTTATCATTTACTTAGATGATAACCCTGAGTGGAGAGCCAGCTAAGGGAGCTGAAGTGAAGGGTGCTGAGCTGGCCAGGCCAAACTGGACATAAGCCAGCTCAGGTGCGAATGCACTGGCCACTGTGGAAGTAAAGACCCTATGCTAAGGAAGTTGTGCTCTGGCTAAACAAGGACGTAGGAAACATTATCTACAATAATGAAAACTTGGAAATACCCTAAAGATTCACTATGAGGAAAATCCTTACATAGATTATTTTATCCTTATTGTTATGGAGTCACTGAAATTTATGATTAATCCAAGCAAGTAATAACATGGAAACCATGCTTAATAGTATGCAAGAAAAGCTCAGGACACAGAGTTACATATTCTATATAATTCTAATAATATTTTACAAATAAGGAAACAGTTAAATTGTACACAAATAAATTAAAAATTGGAAGATTGTAACTCTAACACTGGGTATGTTAGGATAAGGAGTCCACAAAAGTTTTCTTTTTTCTAACTAAAATTTTACTAAATTTCATTATTTTGAACCCATCCATCACATATTTATAAACTTTAAAACAATAATAAATGTTGACATTCTAACATGTTAATGGCTTTTCTATTTTTTTGGGGGGAGGGGGTTCTGGGGATCGAAATTGGGTCCTTGAGCTTGCTCAGCAGGCGGCAAAACCACTGAGCCAAATTCCCAGCTTTTCTATTTTTGACTCAGTAGATTGAATAGAATCAGGGAAAAAATTATAAAGGCAATTTTCATGGCTTGTATCTAGATTGTCCCCCAAATGCCTCATGTGCTAATAGGTGGGGCTTTGGGAGGTGGCTGGATCATGAGTGTGTGATGCTGGATCAAGGTGTGTGGTAACTAAATGGGTTTAGCATAGTTCTGGGTGTAAGTAATGGGAAGCTCCACCCTGAATGTAGGTGGCACCACCCAAAAGGCTTGTAGCCTGGATGGAATATAAAGGGAAAGATGGAAGGCTTGCTCCTGCCTCCTGCCTGCTCTGCCAAGGACTGTTCCTTGTCTGCCATGCTATCCTGCCTTGGAGGCAGCTGACTGCCTGAAATCTCTACAAACTATGAGCCAAAATAAACTTTTCCTCCTCTAACTTGTGGGTGTTGGGTATCTTGTCCCAGCAATGAGAAAAGTAACTAAGATGGCAATAAACCATTTTTTATAATATTTATTTCCATGGCTCAGGATGGAACAAATGGCCATGGTGAAGAAAAAGATCTTCTGGCGTATTCTCAGAGTACTGATACCTAGTTATATTATTCAGTCATGTCTTACATTTTGAAAAGCTCCAAGCTAACATGGAATCTACTAGCATCTCCAGAAATTTTGAATATTATCACTATTCCCTAAAAAATTAAGAAACAGAAGAGTAGCCAAGTGAAACCCATGTCAAGAACGCAGTCTGCAATGTCCCCTTAGCACTGTCTAGGGAATGGGTGTATCCGCTCAGAAATCATGCCTAGAATAAAAAATGATTTTTTGAAAATAGAGAATGCCTTCTTAGATCTCTCCATGTTAGTGGTTTTCTCACATGTTTTTCAAATCCTCTTATGGAGCTGTTTTCTAATGTTATCCACAACTAGAACTGACAATGAAAGTTACACTGTGGAAGCCAGGTATGAGTGGTCTGGGAAGACCACTAATAACATCACAATAACATAGCACACTGGCTTTATTCTCGAGGGTGTCCTCATGGGGAGAGGAACCCAAGCCAAAAGAAAGGTACATGTCCTAATAGAGGCAGAGTTTTTATGTTCAATTATAATGGAAAAAGGCATATTATATTTAATTTCACCTTCAGCACTCAGACAAAAACGATGAAGTTAGATATTTAGATCTTAACTCTGAAAGAATTCAAAATACTCATTAGGCTCCTATCCTTTCCTATCCTTTCCTATCCTTCCTGTGGGAAGAGACTGATAGTCGAGGAATTAAACATATGAATGCTGAATTACCTAGAGGAGTAATAGAATGGATCGAAAGAGAAAGCAGCTTTTGAGTGTTGTTTAGCAACACCAGGCAAAAATCACGACTCCAGGCCTCATCTCTGCAAAATCTTCCTTTGTTTTGTCGTGTACTCACCTCAGAGCTCTCCGGTTTTTATTTCTAACTGCGTCTCCAATGCTGCCTTCTCAGCCAGCCCCTTTGCTGTCTATGCCACTAAGACAAGAGGGGTGGGAAGAATCATCAAACCAATATTTGCTTGTTCACAGAGTTCATGAATAAGTATTTTAAAACTTCTGCTCTTGTAAGTAGATTGCAGTGGAGATTAAATTATTTAAAGATTTTCTATTTGAGCACTGTGGTCAAACTGTAGCAAAAATTATGAATAAAAGTAATGATTAATGTTAACTAATCACTTCAGAATGCCAGTCATTTTCTTGTTTTATAGTATTTCAACATCATAATTTTTGATGTTTATACCATTATTAGTCCATTTTAAAATGAGGCAATTGAGATTTAGAAAATGTAAAAAATTTCCCAAGATCTCAGGCATGTCAAAGGACTCACACTTGGGCAATCTAACCCGGACTCTGAATGTTTGCTGGGTAAGAAGTAAGTTCTTCTTTGGAGAGCTTTCGATACTCAAACTTGGTTATCAACAACTCCCATGAATAAGGATGCCAGAAATCTGCCTCAGTCCCTGAAGGTTTCAACAGTTCAGGTGGGTATGGCACATGTCTCTCACCTGCAGTTTGGGTTAAGAGAAAATCGGAACAATAAAACGCAGCACGTTGTTGGACTCAGAAAGCGAGAGTTGGAAGCAAGGCTGAGAAGGAGCCAAGCACCAGGAAGGCCGATGCAACCAACACTGGCTTGTGTTCAGACCCAGGAGAGAACTTCCACAGGGTCTTCCTCAACAGGCTTCAGCAATGAGAAAGCAAGTTTCCACATAAAGGGAAATTCAGGTCTAAACTCCACACCGAGAGCAAAAACAGCTGTCACAAGTAGTTTTCAGATGTGCAGAAGGCTGAACGGTGATACATGGCTGAGTCCACTGTGAGACTGCCTTTCACGCTGGCAGTACCTGAAAATGCATAGCCCCAAGTGGAGCTGGAATGATGAGTGGCAGTAATATTCCCAAAGACTTAGAAAGAAGGAAGTGGCAAAATACACAGTTACATATTAAACATCTGAACACTGTTTAGAGATTAATTCCTAAAAACACAGATAATTGTTATGAGAATGTGCTCAAATAGGAAGACACTATTGCTCTATGAAAAAGGCAAAAGCATAGGGACCCTGCACAGAGTCCATTTGTCACTATGGAATCGCAGGTGATGTCACAATCTGACGTTCTAAAGGGAGAGCTAGGCTGAGCAGGGAAGAACAGGAAATGGGGGCGGGGATGAAAACCTGCATCACAACAAAAGGATTTCCCTGATTGCAGAAATGAGTCAAACATCTCTGAAGCTGAAAAAGAAGGTCAGTGATTCGAATGCCCTAGAGTCTTACCGAGGAGCTGAGGAAACACAAATACCAGTCTATCCTTCACCTCTGGGAATTCTCACAATTTCTACCTGGTAATAATTCAGGTAATGGTTACACGTAGAGGAAAATAGAAGGAGAAGACAAGAAACTAAGGTAGTGGGAAAATGGATTAAAGCATTTAGGTTCTGTCAGTCCAATAAGCCAGCATTTGTGGAGCATTTTCACGTTAGTGGGAAGAGGTAAAAACCCAAAGGCTGTCTATGGTGTGGACAGCCTGGTCGGCAGAGCAGACGGAAACAGAGTACAATTCAGTGCGCAGCAAAATTTGTACAAAGGACACGGGAAACACGAGGAACGCGTAACTCCCGTGCAGCACCCCTCACACTGAGCCAAGCTTCGAGATGGTGCAGGATGCAGTGGTCTCCAGGCAGTGAAGGGGGCTTGGGCCCACCCATCACCTGGCATGAGGAGGAGTGGAGCGTCCCCAGACAGGCGCAGGGAGTAGCGCCCTGGAACCCCCACTCCAGTGGCAGTGAGCCTGTGGCACCCGTGACACAGTGTTTTCTTTTAAGACAAAAGATCTAATGCATGCGTTGTTCTTTTCTGAACTAAAACCTCAGTATTCAGGTTTAATTGCAGTGTTGGAACTTTGCAATAAGTAAGTGGGTTTGGGGTTGCAGTTTGGGCGCTTGTGTCTAAAAGGCTCGCCACCACTGTCCTCGTCTGTCCAACCAAGGAGATGAACAGCATGGTTAGATTTACATTTTATAACAGGTGGGAAGATCTAGATGCAGGGAGGATTTGAGGCCCTACCTGTTCAATAGGCCATCTCCTAAAAATGAGTACCTAAGGCCCAGATGAAGGCAATAAGCAGGACAGAGGAGAATTAGATTTAGAATATCTTCTGGAGTTAGAAGCGATGGATTATTATGGTGATTGGAGCAGCGGGTGAGCAGCTCTGGAAATATTCTCAAATTAGTATAAGAGCCAAGTCACACTCTGCAGTCACATTCTCATTTGACTACTGTAAGATGCAGAGCAGAAGTAGATGAAAGAATATGGCTTGGGAGGCCTTGGTCTGCCCTACACGTTGAGCTCCTTAAACAGATAACATTTAAGCAGGTGTGGTGGCATACTCCTGTAATCCCAGCACTTAGGAGACAGAGGCAAGAGGGCCCTGAGTGTGAGGCCAGCCTAGGCTACACAGCGAGTTCTCTGCTATGCAGCAAAGAACCTACCTCAAAAAGTCAAGATAGCTAAATAAATAAGTAAACAAGGATAGCACTAATCCCAATTAGGCTGATGCTACCGAGTCAGCAGGGAGAGTACAAGTAGTGTCAAAAATGTGTATAGGTTTCCATAAAGGGAGTCATCTTGTCTCCCTCCAAGTCTGTCAGTAACAAAACCTCTCTTTGCTCTAGATACTGAGAGTAATTTGATCATAAGACCAGAAGATACATCCGTCAATAATCTGCACAGGATTAAGGTCTTTGTTTTAAAAACATCACACTAATATTGGTGAGGGACAGATACACAGAACACTGCTGCTATAATTATTAAGAAAACAAACAGAAAGTTTTAATTCTATATGACAAAAGTTCCTAAGTAACGATCTTCTGAGGAATGGAGAAAATAAAAGCTTTTTGTGTAAACAACTTCATGTTTAAAGCCAAGTGATACTGAGCGCTGGAACGTTCTCCCATAGTATTTCCCATGTTATCATTTCTAAATGATAAATGCTTCCCACCTTGGGCTCAAACCAACAGATTTATATGAAATTTACTTCATGTAATTCTTGTTTATACATGTCTTGTGTTCACTTATGCTTGTTAGAACAGGGAGAAAATGTGTAATGTTTCTATATTTCTGATATAGGCAAGAAGACAAATTCTAGACTTTATCCTTTTGCCCTAAACTCAAGGCTTCCTAATGCCCTTGAGATTAAAACTGAATAAACATTCTTTGTTTCCATGTTAAGAATGAGCCCGGGACCAGGTACTCAAAAGAGTCTAGACTCCGAAACGAGACGGGACTCTGAGAAATCGGGGGTCCGCCTGAGCACTCAGGTGAGCGGACTCCTCAGCTGGGGCGAGCAATTACAGAGCAGACAGCCCCGGGGACGCCCTGGACGGGGCTCTGGGAGAGAGGACCCTGGGTGCAGACTGCACTGCGGACACCTGTGCCCTCACAAGGAGTAGGGAAAACTTGGAGGCCCGCAGTCCACAGCCCAGTTCCTGCAGAGCAGGCAGCACAGAAACTAGCACAGGCCAGGGGAGCCGGCCCTCGCGCTGACCGCTTTCTGCATCATCTTTCAGGTGAGGCGCCCAGGCAGTCCGAGTCCCTCGCTGCGATGTTGCCCCGTGCGTGGTCACCCGTCGTGTAGACGCTGCCTTTGTGCAGCTGGGGGACTGGTCCCTGCCGCACAGCACGCATTTATGTTCACATGTGCCTGTGGCGGGCGCAGGGCCAGCAGATCACCAGGATCAGGGTGAGCAGGGACTGCTGGCCGACTGGGAGGGGGGCCAAAGGCCCGGGGGGAGGAGGTGGGGGCGGACGCTCTCCCACTGTCCCTCGGTCTCCGGAGGGCGGAAGGCTCCCTGTGCTCAGATGCGGCCGAACAGCCCTGCTGCAGCCATGGTCTGTGCCGGAGGCCTTGCCTTTACAGCGCAGCCTTTATCACCTACGAAGGAACGGGCTCTCCCTTCCCCGGATGTGGGCCAGGGCAGGCGGCCACTCTGCCGCCTCCCACAGAAGAGTCTCGGGTGCAAAGGCAGGAGCTGTCACCCTTGCTTTTTGGTTTCGGGGCTCCTCCTGGGGGTTCCCCTTTGTCACGTCACAAGGAGGTCAGGGTCCAGCCAGAGCCAGAGCAGGGCACGGGGGCTGAGGGCTGAGAGGCCGGAGGCCTTTGCACTGGTCGTTGCTGTTCCCTGGCCCGCCCACTGAAGGGAAGGCTGAGGCAGGAAGGCGCGCGCTGGGGAGCTCCACCTGGAGGTCCTCTCTGACAGGGGTCGCAGGAATTATCAGCACCAAAGACAAACGCTCGAGGTGCCCTCCTGGGAAATCAGTGGCCCGGAGCATCACGAAGTCCTCCCACCAGGCCTCCGTCCCTGTCCCTCGAGGAGCCCAGAAGCAGGAACAGCAGTCTCAAGGTAGGCGGCGCGGCCGAAGAGGGCGGCCACGCTGCGGAGGCTTCCGGGCGTCCGACTCGTCTTAACGTCCTGGGCCTCCCGGCGGATAAGCCTGGCCTCCTGGCCTCGGCCTGGAGCGCACTGAGGCCGGGCTGGGGGCCCGGGAGCCTCCGCAGCCCAAGCCGGAGCTCGCCGCCACCATCGCAGCCTCCTCCCGGGCGCTGACGACAGGCGCACCTCCGAGGAGGAGGCCCGGAGAGGTGCGCGGAGAACCCGCTCACCAGCCAGAACCCGCTGCTGCCCGGCCGCCTTCCGCCTCGTCCGGGCGCTGCTCCTCGTCCGGCCCGGCCGCCCGCTGCTCCTGCAGACTGCTGGCCTTGCCATCACTGCCCCCGAGGTGCCCGGGCCGGCGAGGGCGTGGCGCACACCCTGGGTTTGGGGTGCTGGCCTCCCCAAGTGGAACTGTGGCCCTTAGACCTGGACAGAAGCCTCTGCTCCCTCACTAAGTGCGGCTTCCACCCCGAGTACTAAAAATAAAAAGCCTTAAAAACGGATGGAATTCACTTGGTAGCAGATTAAGAAAATCAAGCTGGCACTTAGGGACATGAGTGTGGTCTGAAATATGTAGCACTTGTAACTGACCCCCTACCTAATGTACAGTCATTACCCAATAACATCATAACCACGCAAAAATAAATGGCACCTCTGCAAGCCCTGGGTCGAAAGTACTCGTGGGACATGGCGGGAGCATGGCAGGAAACCGCAAACCAATCCCAAAGACCAATGTTTATAAAATAGACAGAGTGCTCCCTTCCGCGGCTCCTATGCCAAGCCTGGGACCGTAGAGATCGTGACCGGTGTGGCCTGTGCGGGACACTGAAACTTCGGCAATAAAAATGATCATTAGATGATCAATAAGGGCAGCCTTTACAAATCAAAACAAACAGAGTGGGAAAGGGTCGGCTTGATTCCTCTCTCTCCCCGTCTCCCAGCGGTAATATTGTAGACTGAAGGGGGTGACCGCCTTCAGCAAGGCTCTGTGCAGTGCCCCGAGGGCTCCGAAAGAGGCAGAACACAGCAGTGAGCGGCAGGCGCTGCCGGGAAGGACCGCAGTCTGTCGGGACTCCCGGAGCTGGAGTCTGCCCCGGAGGGCTTGTCCTCCAGCCTGCCTATGCCCACCTTGCTGCCTCTTTACACCCATCCTGTTTGTAACCTGCAGGCCCTGCAGCACGTCAATGCCAGACTTCGTGAGCTGTATCCTGATGAACAGGACTTATTTGATATTGTACTGATGACTAATAACCATGCCCAAGTGGGAGTGAGGCTTATAAACAGCGTCAATCACTATGGTAAGTAAAATAAATACCATGTGGAAGACCAGCTCACAGCTCTGGAAGAGAGGAGCCATATTATTTTGCTAACTGTGGGCTGAGCAGTGCAGTGTCTTTGATACTGACACCCTTCTGCGTCAGGAATGTTTATTTGCCTATGTCAGAACAAGAAAGGCCATGTTCATTTTTAACTTCAGCACACAGTTGGGCTCAAAGCTCTGGCTTTAACTTGTCAAGTGTGAGTTTCAAAGTCTTAATCCTAGGTCCTGCAATATATTTCTCTGTTTTATGTTTTTCACTTCTGAACTTGACTTCAAGGAGCTGTCAACCCAAGGGCTTTCTCTGTGTGATCAAACTTCATGCTCACCACAGATCCATGTTAAGGGTTTAAAGGTTTTCACCACTCCTTTCCACTCTTAAAATCCGATTCTCCCACACATCGAACCCTTACTCAGGCCAGGAACACTGTTTTACTCCTCTGCATGGAAAATTGGATTGGCTGTATCGCCAGAGCATTTCCACCACTGTGTTACTTTTTCTTAGTCTTTATTTTTCCTACTATGAAATGCCTAACTTGTTATTTGGGGCACAATTATCCTCTTTTCTAAGTGACAGGCCCAGTCTTTTGGATACCTGAAATCAAACTCAGGTTTAAATTGTGTACATTTCAATTCTGGGTTTCAATTGAGCATATTTGTAAATAATCAAGCTGCATTACAAGCTATGTTTTGATTTTGTACTATTCTAAGGCTGGTATTTTACAGAAATATACTTTTAAAGACTTTATCTTGTTAAAAATACAGCATGATAGTGTTGTAAAGTCAAAGCAGAAAATGTGTACAAAAGACTGAGCATAGGTGAGTGTCACATGACACTTGCTCTGTAGTATCATTTTAAAGATACAGAATCTTATGTATGTCTATCCCTACCATGCTCAGCCCATTGAGGCTGGAAGCCTCCGGACTCAGTTGTTTAACTCTGAATTCTGCTGATTAACCCACTGAGCACAGCCTTCTTTATAGAATAATAACCTTTCACCCAGAAGAGTTAGTTATTTCCCTTTTCTGGATGCTGAAGGCAACTTGTAACTCTCCCCGCTGTGGCCTTTGTTATGTTATAATTAACTTTTTACATGCCTGACTTCGTGCACCATGATCTCCTTCAGAAGGGGGACACTGTTTTAATTATTTCTGAGGTCCTAGTGTCATCAAGTTTTTTCATGATCATTAAAATAATATTATTTCAGGATTGATAGTCTACTTTTATGTCACATACGCCCAACACTGCCTTAAATGAAAAGTGAGAATATTTTGTTAATAGCAAAGCACACACCCCACCCTGTCCGTGGCTCCTCCCCACTCCCTTGCCCATACCAGCTAGAACAGCTGACCTGGCTCAGGCATCCATCATATCGTACGCAGCTATGAGTTTATCACCTATATCTGGAAGTCTTTGATTAGATACGGAATATTTTATCATATGCCTGATGTTACACCTTATCTATTCTCACCATGTGGAACATGTTTGTTATAACCTTTCTACATAAATATCAGTTTTGTATTATTTCTTTAGGATAAATAGCTGAGAAAAAAGGAATCCTAGGTCAAAAGGTATAAACCTCTGAAAGTTCTTGATACATATTGTCAAATTACTTCCTAGACAGTTTGTACCAGTTTATACTTTCATCTCTAATATGTATGGGTGCCTATTTTAAAACTTCTTACCAACAGCCAGTGAGGTTTTTTTATTGCTGTTGATTTGAAAGGTATTTAGTAGCACTTGATTACTGATTCTGCTAATGACATTAAAATTTTCACATCAGGAAAGTGACCATTTTAGACATTTTATTGCTTTTTAAAAAGAGTTCAAATCCTACCCTTACTTGTTATTATTGTATAGTTACTGAAATAATACAAAATGGTAATTTAAATAGAACCACACTTTAATGCCCTGTTTCAACAAGAGAGAAGGCGGTAGCCTTCAAGGAGAGGGGCACATTGTTCTAGGCCAGACAAGAAGCCAACCGGACACATGGGCTCAGGTCAGCCCTGCAGGTGTGAAGAGGTGTGTCAGACAGGTCTTTCTCCCTCAGTGCCACACAGTGACTGTGAGAGTGACTGGCACGGTCTGTGGGCATGCACTTCATTAACCACAGTGCACTAGACATCCACCCCATTACATGAGATGCCTAAGAAGTTCTTCAGGGTCCATACTGTGAAAGTGATTCTAATACTTCAACTATTTCTAAGGTGACTTTCACATAGATTTACATACGAACTCACCTTAATGCCCAAATAAACTCTGTATGCTTAAGATAATTTTCTTTTGGACTCTCAGTATTTTGTCTTTAGTCTCAGCCATAACAAAGTCTTTCATGCCTGATAATAGGATTACTAATCGACTGGTTCTGTTTGACTGGTGGAAAAAGCCCCATTGGCTATTTGAAGGCGTATCTTACTAACTTGTATCTTTCTGCGGATTCTGAAAAAGTACAGGAGGCAATGCAAGAAGGTATTCGTCTGATCTTATCCTTCTGGTTAATAACGGGCTGTGCTCTAATGGTCACGTACCTTGGGTTTCCTATAGGGTTATGCTGGTTATGTTCTTGTTGTGCCCAGGTGTTTTCTGGTGTGGTAGCCCTTAGGTTTGTCCCTTAGAGCGCCAACCTTCCTACAGGTGGGTATCCTTAGTGATCTTCCTACAGGCCATCTAGCACTTCCCACCCCTTGGAAGACAGAGACACTGATAGACATCTGAGATGTGTGCTTGTGCCCAGGACCTCCGTTATCAATTAAGAGCTAGAGAGAAGCATTAGGGCTGGGAGCGCGCTAGTTCATTTGTTTTAAATGGAAGAAACCAGAACTCATGGCTCTGAGAGGAGATTTAATCAGTTCCCCTGCTTGCTCAGGAATTTGCTTCTGCAACAATGTTTGATGGGGCCAGAGACATAGCTTACTGCGACACCCAGCTCCGAGTGCCCTTTGATGGGGGTGCTGTCCTCTTCTCAGACGGGTCTGAGCACATCGCCAAGAAGCCCGCGCTGGACAAGTTCTTTCAACATGAAATAATGTTCGAGAATAAGCCTCTCGCTCAGGTAGGTTCAACAAGCTCTTAATTTGGATCTGCCTGTTTTCCCACACAGAAGCATAGATACTTGCTCATGATGCGGGCTTTTAAAATTATTGTAGGAAGGCTTCTCTTTACTGTCGTATCCTTGAAGTTTTTGTTCTATCATTTATGAATTCCTTACTTAGAAACATCTATTGCCAACAGCTTTTAAAAAATATTTTTAGCTGTTTTTCCCATAATAATGAGTATATTTCCTCCAAATTATGAGTAGCAGAGGTAACATAGCTTACCAATAAGCTATTTTATGATTATGGGTTCTCCAAATAGTGAAGTCTTTTCCAGTAGGTTTAGTAATCATTTGTTGAATTTCTCTGTATTTGACCCCAAAGTCAAGAAAGGCATGATATAATTGAGAAAATCTGCAAGACTCAGAGCTTGAATCTGAATCAAATAATGAGTAAGTGCAACTATGACCACCTAATCAAGCTGAAAATAAATATTAAGGGTTTTGGAATCCATCCATGTACTGAAGTGTTAAAACCAAGGTCTAAAATGAACCAAATCTACAGCTTCTGAACTAAAGGAAATTTAAACATCAACACGTTCTCCAAACTGAATCTGAACTGGTGGATTATTTAGTTTTATGTTATGAATCTTCCTAGTGGTTTTCTCGGATTCTATGCTCAGTGACTACCTTTTGATTTCAGCTCTCTGATGGACTCAAAAAAATTTATGTTTTTTTCAGATTGTCTGAGTTTTCTTTTTACTAGGTTGGTAGTAATCTTTTTTAAAGCTTTCTATATCTTAGGCAGATTGCAAATGTTTTAAATCATATCCCATCAAAAAGTATTTTAATGACTTCTAGTATTTCCTTATTTTATTGATAAATTACATATGGTTTCTAATGTAGAAATATGTAAACTAATATATAACTACGAATAGAAGTAAAAGAGGATGGGATGGTTTCCCAGTCTGACTGTGGTGACATAAACCCAGTACTCTATTTCTTCCTTTGGAAAGTACTCACATGCAGCAAGAACTGTGCCCCTTTGTATTTCAGACAAGCACCCTGTGACCAGGGTGGCTGAAGCCAACAATCATTACACCAGTCTTGCCATTATTACCACAAAAAACCCCCAAACTTACAATTTTGCCCCTATATGTATGCTTCTCACCTTCAGGAAGTAAATTTACTTGCTTTTTCTAATGTATACACCATCAGAGAAAGCAGAAACAAATATTTACACAAGAACTATGTTTCTGGTAAGCTGTGTGTGTTCATGATAGCAGACAAAAAAGTCTTGGAAATGTGGAAACAAGCCAGTCTTCCAGCACCGCCCTCAGCCATCCCTGTAAGATCAACTGTCCCAAGGAAGACCAGTCTAGGCCAGTAAAACTTATAAAAACAGCAGATTCAAGCATATGCAAAGTTGCTAGGAGAAAAAGACAGATAAAAGAAAAGAATAATATCTAACAACAAATGAATGTCTCATAAGAAAAAGTCCCACAATATAAGTAAAGATTGTGACTGAATATTTCCATGACATTTAAAACTTAATATAGCAGAACCAGAAAGCAGAAATGCAATTATCAAAGAATATATGACAAACTGTGAAATGGCAAAATGTTGGAAATGAATAGAATTTAAAATAATGGTTTAGATAGAAAAAGAGACAAGTAGATTGTAGGTAAAGAAAAACGAACATATACATAAATGGAGTCCTTGAAGAAAAACACTAAAATTACATTGGGTGGGGTGTAGTTAAATATAAAGAAGCAAATTTGTATAAACATATGTCAGAATACTCTTGAATTATCAGAAAACTATAATGCCTGCACTAAAGGATTAAATTATTAGAGATAATGGCCCACATTGTCTGATAGGGAAAAAGAGCCAGAATGATAATCACTGAGATTATGGCAGAGTGAAATTACTTGACTTCAAAGATGAATAAGTTTTTGGACTGCCTTCCAGGAAAGACCAATTGCCGTAAGTGGTGGGCAGGCAGTGGGTTATCAAGCTGCCCTCAAACTTCTCAAGAGCTGCACTTGATGGCAAAAGATGATTTATAAGACCTTATGGAGAGAAAGCATAAAAGTGAAAAGGAACAGCTATACAGTTATGAACACAGTACACTGGCCAACCTAAGGATGACTGGGTGTTCTAAGGCACAAGTGGACATAGGATATATGTGACCAGATTTAGTACTAAAATAGCTGGACTAGAGTAACAGGAAACAAAATTCGAATACTATGTCCTAACAAAGCAAAAGTTACAGAGCTAATGGGATAATGTGAAGAAAGGATGTCTGCTGGTATGCTGCTATCTTCAGTTACAGTGGCCAGCCAAAGGGTGAAATGCAAGGGCAAAAATACATATTTGATCAATTAAAATATGGGCTATTTAATAATGAGATATAAACACATGGACATTAGATGACAAAAATAGAAAAAAAGTAGAGCAGAAAGATGTTGAGTAAACCCTTATTTATTTATTTCTCATTGTAAAGGATAATAGACTCGGGATTTTCAAATACAATAAAAGGTATGGTCATAAAGATGACCAATAGAAGGAAATAATGCAAAGCTTCTTAATAAAAATAATACAGAACCAATATCAAGTGTATTTGTAATATGAACAAAAGTAAATGGGCTAAAAGTTAACTATTACTTAAAAAATAAGATTTTCAGATTGGATCACATAGTCAGATCCAGTTTGCTGCTGTACAACAAAGGATAACTAAGTATTTAGAAAGGTTGAAAATGAAAGAAAGCATGAAGATATATAAAGCAACTGTAAATATAAAATAAGGTGGACAGAATTAGATAAAGGAGTACATTTTTTAAGCTGAAATGCACAAATTTAGAGAATTTTAAAAGTAGTACTTTTGACAACCAACTGGAGTTTGGTTAGAGTGACCATCTTTCTGTGGATGGTTTACATCCATTGTCCTTAATTATTTATAGAACATTCTTTCACACTTAAAATATCTTGGCTTAGATGATAAATTACTTGATCATCCATCTTAGGTTTATGCCAGGAATGCAAGGATGGTTGTATATCAAGAAATACAGTCACATAAACCCAGGCAGATTTAGCATTGTGTTGTCAGCCAGGTCACACTGCGTGCCATGCAGAATTACATATTAATAACCTCGTAAAAGCCTCTGGTTTTTCAGTGGTCGCTTCCCTTCACTCATTGATTCACAACTGTGACATATGTTCCTTTTACAGGGTCCCCTAAAAGGCTTTCTGGAAGATTTAGGCCCACTGCAAAAGAAATTTTATTCCAAAGATGAAAGGTTACTTTGTCCCATCAGGACCTACCTGGTTACAGCCAGAAGTACAGCCAGTTCAGGCGGCCGTGTGGTGAAGACCCTTTGTCGCTGGGGACTAGAGATAAATGAAGCTCTTTTCCTTGCTGGAGCCCCCAAAGGTCCCATCCTGGTGAAAATCCGACCCCACATCTTCTTTGATGACCAGATGTTCCACATTGAAGGGGCACAGAAATTTGGCACCATCACAGCTCATGTACCTTATGGCGTCAGTCAAAAATACAACACTTAGGGTGGATGGCGAGAAGGAACATGGCAATGTCCTATGATAGGCCACACTTCCTTCGGATATCTAGAATAATTAGGTATCGCAGAAGATTGGACCTCAGAACTTAGCTTTTTTAGAAAGGTTTTTTTCTTCACTTCTTTGAAAACATTTTGACCTCTCAAGTTTACTGTCAATCTACTTCTCTTCAAGCAGTCAATGCTGTTGAATGCCATTGTACCTATTTCTGTGTAAGATAAAATGATGCTTCTCTGAGATGTTGAGAACTTGAAGATTCGAGCACTTACAGGGCTATTTCAGAAGCTTGCTTGGCTTCACAAAGCATGGCTCCTTTTTGGATGGAGAGGGAATGAACTGTTCGCCATCACCTTCTGGAAGAGCAGTCTTCACAGGTGAACGAGAATGGCTAAGCACCCTCTTGGAAACCAGGGTTTTATTTTGTTTGCCCTAATGACCAGCCCTTTGACCAAGTCAAAATGAGAGCAACACTTCACCTGGATTTGGACACTGCTCATGTGGTAATAAATCAGCTGATTTTTCCTACGGGGCACATTCTAAAATGACCTTACAGAGCTTCCCAAGAAGGGTTCTTCAAAGCCTTTTCGGTGGGTTCATTGGCTGTGGCCCACAGACCTCCACCCTTGAAGTCTCTGGCTCTGAGCCTATAGGTTGACCCAATACTTGGATGGTAAAAACGTAAAAGAAAAAAAAACAAACAGCCAAACACCTTGTGATGTGAAGTGTAGTATTTTGGCTTTTCATTGTCATTTTGTTGAAACTTATGTTTCCTTTTTAACAAATCTTGATTGGTTATTGACCATAATAGACCCTATGCTAGGCACAGTAAGCTAGTAATTTTCATTTTACCTCATTTTCTTATCAAATTAAATGTTTTCAACATAGAATTATTATTACTGTCCTTTTTTAATTGAGGAAATTAAGATTCAAAAATATTCAGTAGCTTGTCCAAGAATGTGGAGCTAATAAGTTGTAGGTCCAAGATTCAAATTCACATTGTACTTCAAAACCAGTGTGTATCTCTTTCCCCTCTGTTACACTGCCTTCCAAACAGCTGTGGTCTTTGGACCAGTCCAGAGCAGATTAGTCATTCCATTAAGTTCAAATGTAAGCTACAACGCAGAAATGCAGCAGATCTAAAAATGTCTTTCACCCTCTTGTCTTTATAGCGTCTATTGTTCTCTGAGCCCTACCTCCATTTTTCCCCAACCTGCACATACATATCCACTCTGGCTCTGGATGAGAGACCTAAATGGACACACATCTTTTGTTCTCTTCATTAATTTGATGTAAACCAGTCCAAAATATATTAAGTCACTACACTTCTCCTACTGTATTCTTACTGTGTCGAGATCCTTTGAGGTCAGCTTCTTCTATAGGGACCAAGGCCATCATAGCTTCTAAAGTGGTCATCCAATTGTAGACCCCAGAGCAGCAAAGCCACCTGGGAAGTGGTCAGAGGTGCAAATTCTCCAACCTGCCCCACACCTACTCAATCAGGAACTCTCGGACTGGACGCCGAATATGTTTTCCTTGTGTCCCCCGGACCTTCCAGGTGATTCTGATACAAACTAAAGTTTGAGATCCAACGGCGCATTCTATTTCCAACAGATTCATGCAGCTAAATTCTTAAATCTCATCTATGGGGTGGACGGGGATTCTTCCTCAGAATTCAGTTGGGTAGGGACCTTTCTCCAGGAGGTGACAGTGCACCGACCTGAGGTGGGGGGCATCTGTACTTCAGCCTACGAAGAGATGTGTAAACTCAAGGGTTGCTGAGGAATTCCCACCGGAAAGGCCTCCTCCACGTGGGGTGCAGCGGGCTCCGCCTCCTTACCCAGCTGCAGAGCAGGTCTCTGGAGGGCGCTGGGCCCCACCAGGGACCCTGGGAGAGAGACTACAAGCCCCAGCGTGCCGTGCGCGCACCACCCGTCGCCCCAGAGTGCCCCGCGCTCGCCGCCCGGCTCCGGAAACGCGCGGTGTGCGGGCTGACGGCCCGGAAGGTGATGGCTTTGGCCACCGCGGCAGCGCTCCTGGCCGCCCTGGGCGGGGCGCTCTGGCTGGCCACCCGGCGGTTCATGGGGCGCGGGGCGCAGCGGCCGCACGGAGGCGGGGTCCCCGGCCTCATGCGCGGGAAGACCGTGCTGATCACCGGCGCCAACAGCGGCCTGGGCCGCGCCACGGCCGGCGAGCTGCTGCGCCTGGGCGCGCGGGTGATCCTGGGCTGCCGCGACCGCGCACGCGCCGAGGAGGCGGCCGGCCAGCTGCGGGGCGCGCTCGGCGGGGCGGAGGCCGGGGTCGGGCCTGGGCAGCTGCTCGTCCGGGAGCTGGACCTCGCCTCGCTGCGCTCGGTGCGCGCCTTCTGCCGGGAGCTGCTGCAGGTGGGCCGGCCTCGCCCGCCTCGGGCCGCCCGTTGCCCCCGCCCCTCCTTCCCTCCTTCCCTTCCGGAGCGGGGCGTCCTCGCTGCCGCGGGGGACTTAACAACACCCTCGCCGGTCTGGCCGGGTCTCCAGCAGGGTGGAGCTTGGAATCCTAGTGATCGGCTCCAAGCGGAGACGGGAGTGAAAATAATACGATGCCTGGCGTTACTGAACGCTTCCTGTGTGCCAAGCGTTGCAGATTGGTTTTTGGGTTTTGAGTGAAATTAAATGCCTTGGTTGTTGTCATTGGGTCTTCACAGTAATCCTGTGAGGCAGACATTGTTATGTCCATTTTATAACTGAGGAATCCGAGGTGTAACAAGGCATCTGTGGAGCCCTTGCTTTAACCCCATCAGAGGGTGAAGATTCCTTGCGCAGGTGGTAAACAGTATTCCACGCAGGTGGGGCCGAGGTCAAAGGACTTCTTGGTGGAGGCGACTTGGGAGATTGGAAGCTAGTTGCACAGGGAGCGTGCCTGTATGAAAAGGAGTCTCGAGTAGAGATTCCCAAATTGCCTCAGTTTTTCATGATGTCCTTAGGCCAAAAGTAATGCCTAAAGTTTACTTATTAAGTAATTAGATCCAAATAACCTAGTTAGTATTTATGACCTAACAGCTTAGTGGTTGCTTGAAAACTAATACACATAATTCCAAAAGAAAAAAAATCAAAAACGATACCTTTACTGCATTCTTAACCATAATCACCTATGTTAATGTGTTCCTGCTGGTCACTGCACCAACTATCCAGCCTTGCATGAAATTAGGTATGGCCGCCTTTGTTTTCTGTTCTACGTGGATTTTAGCCTTGGCTTTCTTCTTATAATATCTGATAAAAAGTCAGTTCCACAAAGAAATTGCCTCATTAATGGAGTATAGAATGTGAACCACCTGGAGCTAGTAATTTCTGAGGTACTAATCATTGGTTCCCTTGAAATTTTAAAATATTCCACAGTACTCTCGGAGGGTGTTTATGCTGTTATGCTCTCAAACATCTTGTTGCAGTTTGAGGGAGTTGGCTTTTTTTGTTGTTACTGCCTGTATTTCATTATCATACAATAGTAATCTGAGAATTTTTGGAAGCACTGGAAGTGGATCTTCCTGTTTTTCATTAAAATATGGATGGGGCTGGGTATGCTTTTTATACTAGACACCTTTGCTAATTTGAGAACTTAAGACAGAACCAGTTAAAAAGTAGGGACACAAATAAGTAAGTTGTCCTTGCTTCTGTTTACCTTCCTGCCTGACTCTGAAGTTCAGTGACTAGAAGAAAGAAATGGAAGTGTAGGCATCCCACAGATTGGCATTCTTGGTATTTATGTCCTTTATCTCCTAGAATTTAAAAAATAGTAAATGATAAAGTCTTAAAATAACACAAGCCAAGCAAAGAATGATGGCTCAGGAATGATTAATTCAGGAAACCTTTCCAAAGGATTAGTGGAAAAGAACACTCCTTTCTTTCCTCCCATGGGTGAACTCTTGTCTTCTTTTTGAAGTTGACTATTGGAAAACCTAAAAGCTCTTGCACAGGCCAGAATGAGAAATAGGTAATCTGACAACTAGGCTTTGATAAAAGTTGTGAAATTTAACACATTTTTCTTTTAGCTTGTACTTGGGAAAGGGCCAGTGAAGCTTGAAATTTGACCTGGAATTAATTTAATCATGGGTCGTCACTGTATCTTTACACCTGGAACATATGCCTTTCTTTTTCTCAGCCCATTAAGAGGCATAGAGGAGCCAGAAAAGGGCTAGAGAGGACCAGCTTACAGAATTTAAGGGATGAGACTTCCCTATGAGAACTGTCTAAATCTTAGGACTTTAGTTTGGGGACATGCAGGAATATATGATCAAAGTACCAAGTTCTAACTATGCAGATAGCCTAAATGAGGGCCCACTGAAGCTTGAAAGATAGTTTCCACATAGGAATGAATAATAGGTGTTAAAGGTCTCAATCATATAGCCATTCCCCAGTCCTGTTGTGAGCCTCATGTATGAGTCCCTAGTTTCTAATATTTTTATATTCCCTTATTTTTTTTCTTAGTTTTTCTTTGTTTTATTCATGAGGATCTTTCCAGGGTTGTTTGTACCCCTGACTCTGACTGTTGCTTGTCCCAATGTTAAGGAAATGCCTTTTAAGTTACTCTTCTGTTCCCACAGGGCCTTGACACGTAGAGAAGTACAATGGGAAGTAATCTTATCCTCTCCTCTGGAGTTTGTGCTAGTATGTCTAGGAATAACTGCTGACCTTCTTCTGTGTACAGTCTAAAGCTCTTCTGGACTTCAGCTATGTTTTAAAAGTCCGGGTTAGAAAGGCAAAGTAGCTTTCTAATTAAGACAAGGGGCACTGGTGTCAGAAAATTGTGCCTTACTGTCAGATTCTTTGCTGCGTCACCTAGGAGCTCTGGGAGACTGGACAAAATACCTGGCTTCTGTGCTTCAGTTTGCTTATGGAGTTACCGGGAGTAGATAAGGTTGAATGTGCAAAGCAAAGGGCCACACTCATACAAACATAAGTCTTTTTCCATTTTCCTCTCAATTGTTAGAACTTCATGAAAGCTATTTTATGGACTTTTAGTATTATGCAATAATTTCTAAAATTATAGGTGCTTTTATTGTGTTTTGATAGGATCTCAGGATTAATGTGATAGCTTCCAAATTGCTGTTTTCCAGGTTCAGCTAAAGTCAGAGGGAGAAATCTGGAATCATTTGAATCCCTCATCCCCCGGTTTACTGTTTTTCTGTTTTTAGAAAGATCTCTGAACTGCTGAGATAATCAGCTTCTCCATGAAACACCTGGTACACATATCTGTAATCATTAAGGTCCAAAAGCAGAAGACCGGGAATGGAGTCTTAGGTACAGTTTCTGCATCTCTCACTGGCAGATTTCTGTGGGTATTTTCATATTTATTTTAATAAGTGAGAAAAAGGAGCATTGAGTGAAGTTACAAATACCAGTTTAAGGAATATCCTGCAAAGGAGTCCCTGCCCCACTACCTAAAGATAAAATTGGCAGTGTTTCAAGTAGTTCTTAAATCCATAGGCTAAAAACTGAAATACTTTTATTTAGTTTCAAGTTCCCTTTTTATTGAAATGTATTTACATGAAAAGCGAGCATTTGAAGGCCTGCGTTCATAATGCTGCCCTCTCTTTTTGGTATTTAAAGGAGGAGCCAAGGCTAGATGTCTTGATCAATAATGCAGGGGTCTTCCAGTGTCCGTATATGAAGACTGAAGATGGGTTTGAGATGCAGTTCGGAGTGAACCATCTGGGACACTTCCTTCTTACCAATCTTCTGCTTGGACTCCTCAAAAGTTCAGCTCCCAGCAGGATTGTGGTCGTTTCTTCCAAGCTTTATAAGTATGGAGATATCAACTTTGAAGACTTAAACAGTGAACAAAGCTATAATAAAAGTTTCTGTTACAGCCGGAGCAAACTAGCAAACATTCTTTTTACCAGAGAACTAGCCCACCGCCTAGAAGGCACCAACGTTACAGTCAACGTGTTACATCCAGGTATTGTCCGGACTAATCTCGGCAGGCACATACACATTCCACTGCTGGCCAAGCCACTTTTCAATCTGGTGTCATGGGCTTTCTTCAAAACTCCACTCGAAGGTGCCCAGACTTCCATCTATTTAGCCTCTTCACCTGATGTAGAAGGTGTGTCAGGAAAGTACTTCGGAGACTGCAAGGAGGAAGAGTTATTACCCAAAGCTATGGATGAGTCTGTAGCAAGAAAACTCTGGGATATTAGTGAAGTGATGGTTGGCATATTAAAGTAGGAGCCAAGTAGTAAGAGCTGTTTATAAAAATGTGTCAGTTACATCTGTGGTCAGGAATGGTGTGACTTGAAGCTACTTGAAAAATTTTTTTTCTGTAATAGCACTGCTAGGAGCTATATGTGGATATGTTGATGTTACTGTAAAGTTATATTTGGACAGTTTCAATAAAGATGTTTAAAACGTATATGTGTGTGTGTGTGTAATGAACAAGTTATCTTTTAAATATTCCGCAAGTATAGATTACAAATTTCACAACAAAATAAGAATCTCAAGGGGGTTATCAGATATCTTTGAGTTTCATGGCTAAAGTGTTAAGTACTTTTTACTACAGTGCTGATTTTTATGTGGAAGTATATTCCTGGTATGTGCACCCAACTCTCGGAATAAATTTGCTGGTACGGGTTCTTTATTGTGTGTTTCTTCAGAAAGCACCCCTTTATCATATCATTACCTTCTCCACACTCTTCTTGCCACTCCTTACACACTGCTCTGAGAAATAACATCTGAAACCCAAATCTGTGTCACATCCTTGCCTCAAAACCTGTAATGGTTTTCAGTTGCCCATTAACGGTGGGTTTTCTGTCCCGCCCCACTTTGGGCTATAGACTTCCTTCTTCAAAAGGAATCTTTTACTCAAATGCTAAACAGGTTACAGAAAGGCTGTAGGGCTGGAATCCCAAAGAGCTATTTCAAAAGAGTCTTTTCAGAATATAGTAGTTTATAAGCCACCATTTAAAGCTCCTAAACTGACAGCAGGCGTGCCTTGCCCTTTCTATAATAATGGAAAACATTCTGTCCACACAATCCAGTATGGTAGACTCTAGACCCGTGGGCACCGAAATGTATTTGAGAACTAGGGTTCTTCTTTGTGTTGTTTAAGTAGACACATCTAGTTACCAGATCGTGGATAGTGCCTCTAGTCCTGCCATCAGGCGCTCTCGAAGAGCGACCTGCTCTTTCCTCTAGGCTGCATGTTCCTTCAGTCACAATATGTTCTTTTTCTCAGCAGTAGACTCACTCCAGAGCAGCCAGGGTGAACCTATGGCACCTGTTAGACTGTATTTTTCTTTGGAGATAAACAATGTTACTGTAGGGTTTTTTTCTAAACTAAAACCTCAGAATTCAGGTTTAATTACAGTGTTGGAACTTTGCAATGAAGAAGTGGATTTTGGGTTGCAGTTTGGCACTCGGTCTCTAAAAGGTTTGCTATTACTGCCCCAGAGGTTCCTCTCACTTGTGATCCTTTCTCCAGTCTCTAGGCAGAAACAATTCTCTTCTCCTTTGCATCCACTGGTCTTGGTAACTGCATAAAGTGCAGTAATTACTCATTCACAGACCCAGTTAAGACAATTGGAATAATACTTCTCCAAGGAAAAAAGATGTGTCACTATTAGTTTTTCTCCTTTAACAATCAAAGTATAGTCCCTAACTGGGAGTAAAAATTTAATAAATGGTGTGAATGAAAATAGTTGAGCCCAGATAGGAACATTGTAGGCATCTACAATGGTCTACATATTATAGTATCACAAGTATCTACTTTAAAATTTCAGTTGTTTATCTTGCCATTTCTTAATATTGGAAAAGAATTTATGGCCTTAATGGGTAGAGAGCTCCATTAAATATATTGACCATTGTGGCCATGGGCTGATCTTTGATTGGTTATTTTTAAAATAATTTATAATACCTGGTTACAAGTATCAGTTCTTTTCAAGAATGGCAAAATTTTGTCAACTCACAGAAGGTGTGTTTTCTGTTAAAGCACTGTGCTCTGAATATGAGAAGCTTTCTGTCATCACAGGTGTGTCTGCAGGTATAGTGGGTATAGCTGCATCATGTTCTTTGAAACACTGTATTTTAAAAAGTAATCCTACAGAAAGACCTGCTGAACTTAGAAATATGGGCAGGAAATACACCAGCATGCAACTTGGAAAAATGGAAGCTAATAAATCTGTCCTACACCTTACTTCATTAAAAAAGCCCCTTTTTTTCATTTAATACCATCTTTTCTGGCTGTATTTTGATATCTGATGCTTTTCAGGGGATTTGGGCCTTTTGAGCTTTTCAGAGTTTTTGTTTATGGCACTGCAATAAAATAAAATAGAATTTATTAATTTATCATGATAGAAAACCAGAAACTTATCTGGAAACACCAGCTATAAAGATAAAATAAGCTGCCATTTGGAAGATGTTCCCACCACTGTCTGATGGAATCAAAAACCCGTAAGCGCAGTCTGCCTGTTGGATTTTGAAGACTGTTAACAGCGTTTACCTCTTTTTTTCTCTTCCTTATGTTGACTCACTTCTAACCATTTTTGCTGGGGAAAGAAATAGGAAAAGACAATTCTGATACTTTAATACTCTTACCCCTCTCCCTCAAGAATCAAAGCATAGTCTCTAATGGAGTAAAAAATTAAATAATAAATGAATGGTGTGAATAGAAATAGTTGAGCAGAATATTGGTAGAGGGAACTTGCACCGTGCCATGTAATGGAATAGTGAATTGAAACTCCATTTTCTGTGCTGACTCATCTTCATTTTCGTTTTTGTTTTTTAAACTGACTTCAGTTTCAAACATCTTGTTTCAAGAAGGGATGAGATTGCTGGGCCTTTGCTTCAACTTCATACAGAGCAACTATTTTGTACGGTGGGATTCTAGGTAGCATTTGATTAGGAAAAGGATTTCACTTCTTAAACACCATCATGTTAGTTTTAACCAACAGCTCCCCAAATTACTTTTCCTGGTGACCTTGACAAGACACTGAAGCTCTGTGAGCTATTGTTTTCTTGGCTTTATGGTTGATGTATACAGGCCGACATGAAAGGGTTGTTCACTGAAGGCAAGGGACAGAGTTGCACAGCATTTAGCCAAAGTGCCTGGCACATACGGCACATACCCTGTGTCCTTCCCCAGTAATCACTACTATCAATGGGAATGGTAACTGATGATAGTGATGGTCAGGTGAATAGGTGGAAACAAGACTTCAAGCCACAGATTAGCTTATATGTATTTTTAAAGCCAGACTGTAAATATCTAAGGTCTTATGAGCCAGATACAGTACATGTTATATAGTAGTACATCACATGCTTCGAAACTGCTCTTCTTCCGAAGGCTGCAGCTGTTCCTGGGTTGTTTCTAACCTATGACTGTTTGTTTGCAGAGCCATAACATTAGAGAGTGTATTTTTGAATCTACCTCCAGCTATAGGTTCTGGTGTGAGAAACAGCAGTTATTCACTTCCAGCTCTCTCCCCTGACAAACCTGCTGGGCCTGGCCAGAGATCTGAGAGCATCTAGATTGGAGTATGTAATCGATTCCAAATGTCCTAGGGAATACTGGAGAGAGAACGTCACTAATCACCCTTCAGGACCTTGGCCCTCAGAGACAGCTTCAGAAGTTTCACATACCTGTGGACAGTGGGGAGTTAAATTAGTCACAGTTTAACATGGAGGAAGATATTTAATTCCTAAAGGGAAGTGAAAAGCCAAGCTGCTTTACACAGAAGTTTTGTTAGCCCGATGTTTAAGCAAAGTACAGTAGAATTGCTTGTAAGCAACTACCATCTAAAGGACTTGCTGTGATAACTGATTCTCCATTCTCTAAAATAAATAAATAAAAATATTTAAAAACTGACCAATCCCCATAATGTGGAAATGGTCTATCAGTGATGGCGAGCATGGTGCAGTGGCTGTCAGTGCCTGAAGGCGGCGCTAAGAGGTTCGCCATCCGTGGGACCCTAGGCTAACAGCGCCTCTGCATCACACTCCCCAGCCTTGGCTTCCTTCCACTCCGTTGTACGCTTGGGAAGAGTGAGTTGTGTACCATTCATTTAACAAGTATTTGTAGAGTGTCCGTTATATGCTAAAGCATTATCTTTGTGTCTGGGATGCATCAAGCAGAGGAGAAACCCACCCCAACTTGCCTGTGCACGTATTATTAGCTGCAGTTGTTATTAAGCATACTACAAGTCAATAATTATAATCTAAACCAATAAAATATGGAAACAATTTCTACAAGACGCTGAGTGCTTTGCAGCAACTAAAGACAGATCACTAGAAATTTACCGTTAAAGCTTCAAACTGTCATACAGTGAAAATAAACATTGTAAAAAATAAAAGTTGTCTGTATTTGGTGCTTGCAAATGACTTTAAACTTTGACCATTGTAGAGACACAAAAGCTGGAAATCATACACTGTACTATTTAAGTGAGTATAATATTAGAAGGCGGGGATCCAAGAGGGTCTGTGCTCAAAAATCAACGAAGATGGTAGTTACACTCTCAGCCTTAGATCAGAAAATAGACAGATGAGTGGACATGCTGTTCTTTAAGTTGAAATAACAATTTTGTGGTACACAGGAGTTATCCTTCTGAGTTTCTCTTTTAATCCACTTTTTCGTGTAACCAGCCAGTTTCAAATGAGGGGTTATATTGTTTTAAATAGAGCTAAAGCTGACATGTCAGAAATTTCACTTTGTGGGAATTGGCAATAAATGCTTTCTATGTAGTCAGTCATATTCTTCCAAAGACTTCTCATCTAAATTTGGGAATTGTTTTTTTGAAATGTACAAATGTGCTGAATTGTTTGATATATGTGCTCCTGAAGTGTTTTTGCAGCTGGCCCTTAAGATTTAATTTCATTATCAGCTTTGCTCTCTCCCTCATTTTCAAAGCCACCACTAATTATGTTAAGTAGGTAGGGTCCTGAGTGTTTTAGGAGCTGTTTTTCAGTGTCATTTTGTCCTGAGGATTTGCCATGTTGTATACGATGTCATACAGCCCAGTCAGTCCAGAGTTGTGGGTATTTAAGGCAAGAAAATCCACAAAAAAGATGTCCCTACCTTTGCTTATAAATTCATACTTTAGAAAAGCACTTGTACCTGCACCCCTTAGTATATCTCACTGATTCACAGATCTAGGCAGTTATGTGGCTATTAGCAAAATGCAACTGATTCTAAGCCCCTCTAATAGCTCCCATATTTGCTACCATAAGAGTGGTAAGATGAATACGTCGAATTTGAAGTTATACACAGATTGAAAGATTTTTACCTGTGCAGACCTCCATACATTTTGGCATTTTAGGTATATCTTCAAATTGTACACACGGTTGGAGGACATGCAGAGCCAGGGGAAATACATAATAGTTATGAGTGTGAAAAAGCCAAGCAAGTTTCTGCCACCAGCCCAT